ATAAGAAAATATTTAACAGGTTGGACACTTAAAACTAGGACATGAACCACTTGTAATGTTCAACTACATTCCTAACAAATTCATGGTAACCACCCACTTAAAGTTGATTACAAACAACACAAAAACTACACTTTATCATGACTAAAACAGAATAAGGAACATGTCAAGTGCTGCTACATCATGAGACAGCTATATGGGAACTTAACGTGGGAAACAATTCCAAAAGCAAAAAGGTCATTGCAAAAGTAAACAAGTCTCGACAAATAATCTTGCCAATTTCTAATTTAAGACCACAGCCTTTTTTTACAGAATTATTTTTATTAAAACATGATCCTTCTTTTTCCATTCTCCTTCCACTGAAATGCAGGAGTTACAGGACAGCATGCATAACTACTGATGTTTTTCAGTTGAGTATGCTCTAGTCTACGTCAAATATGCCTAGGTAGTTGTGGCATCTCTACACAACACCAGTACCAAAATTATGAATTCAAATGCCAAGTAATGAATAAACAAAAAGTAACAACCACAAGAAGAACGCACCTTATAGACTAAAATATTGCTACTGGTGCTTAAAAATAATTACAAGCAACTAAATAGCTATTTAAAACTACAGACTAAGAGGGGAAAAAGTAAGACTCATCACTGAGATATGCTGAGAAGTTTGATTCTACTAGACAACAGATGTGAATTTAAGGAGCAGCAAAGATGAATGTCTGAAGACACTCAATCCACAGAACATATGAAATACCTGTCTGAAAACATGGTAGAAGGAGGCAAAACCAAAAGCAAATATTAGACATAGCAAGGCAACAAAACAACGACAGCATCAGCAACTCTGGGTTTTTTTCTCCCCAGTGTATCTATTAAGGCTTTTGCATACACTTGTTACTACAATATGTTTAACATAACAGTACTAACCTCAGCTTGCAATTAAACCTCATTATGTATCATTACCAGCAGGTGCAGATGAGACTATACTTCTTATCACAGTCAGTTATTTCTTCTGTAAGACTGCAAGGTTCTTTTCTTTTTCCTTTTATTATTTTGATTATTTTTTTTTAAGTCAGCTAACTTCAGATTGTAACTTGATGCCTTAAAAATTCCTGGTCACCAGGTTGACTATTGTTCTCATTAGTGATTAACAGGTAAAGGGACTATTTGCTTCAGTGCCTCTGCCAGGTTCAGCTCTAGTCCCTGAGAAGGTCCCACAAACACAAATATACAAACATTCTAACAACTGGGATGATAAGCAAGATCATGAATCAGTCAAATTCTATCCCAAAAGCTCAGAGCATTGACCAAAACCAGCAGTAATTACAGTCAGTCTTTTTATAACAAGCTTCAAAGTCCAGCAAGGGAGATGCTGACTGCACCCTGTTCTCAGAGCAGAAAACACCAGCAGTTGAGGAAGAAGGCAGAAAACGGGCAGCTCTCAAGCTACAGCTCAATCTGGGAGAGATCACAAACTATGTATCATTGCTTTTATGCTATAAACTAGTCATTCTTGCTGTATCTCATAATCTATTACAGTAAAAAATATTTATTTTCATGCATCTTTGTTAATTCACATCCTATTTTTCCTCTTCAGAGAAGGAGGGACTAAACAATCACGTTTAAAAACACGAACAGTAGACTAAAAGTTGAATGTTTAAAAAGCAGTTCATACAAATAGAAACTCTTCTATCTGGGTTGTTCCCCAGGTTAAGGCAAATTTTTTTAATACACAATTTTTTAGGAGCAATCAGACTGGAGAATACTTTATCAACAGTCAGGTATTTCCTTGCTTGCACCACAAAAAATGAACAGGAAAAAGGACTACAGATCATCTTAGATGGTGTCTCCTTGGACAGATAAAATTGCCTAATCAATCCTTTTGATCTCTCTTCCTCCTTGACTAATACATTAAACTCCATAATTCTCCATCCCCAAAAAATCCATTCTGAAATGTCTTTGGCCTCAGGTATCATGGGTCATATGAAATTAATTATCTTGAATAGGTGTGCTTTTGTCTTTAAAAAGATTTATCACATTTGCCAAGAGTCAGGAGCGGAGCAGCAAAATGTCTTTAAAAGTATGGGGTCTGACATTTACTATTATGGTAAAACAACCCTTGGAGGAAAGGAGAAAATTAAGGAGCAAAAGTGGTGGAAAAGAAAACAGCACACCACCCAGAAAGTTAGGTAAAACTTTGCAGTTAGCAAATGCATCAATGCCAGGCATAAGGACGGAGATGCATATAAAGCTATCACATTGCAAAGCACCCCAAGTACAGCTCACCACTTTGCCTACTGCCCTGTCTTCTCTCATCTTTTCTTTATTTTGACTCTGGACAGCATGATGGAAAAAACATACAATGAAAAACATCCCATGGCTTAATATAAAGATCCATTGAAATGCGTTATATTTAAAGTTATTTGGATGCAAACTTCCTTATTTGTTAAAGCCTGTTAAAATAGACTGATTATCTAACAATTTTTATTCCCTTTAATTTTAACAATGCATCCTTTCTTACTACTATACAACCACCATAGGCTTGTGAGTTGCAGTAGATGCAGCTCTGAGGTAAAGATTTCTACAGCAAGCACTGAGGCTTGGCTGTGCACTTTTATTGACCTTAAAACTCAATCTACTTTAAACGTGCTTGTACCTTCATTTCAAAGGGTACATGCAAATAAGATGCATTTTGTTCTAGCACGGTTCAAATTAAGAATACAAAAGTCACTTTACTGTGAACTAGAGCAAGAACTTGTATCTTACTGAATAGATGCCTGAATCAGAAACTGGTACCTCAGCCTACTGGAGATACTCACTGTCCCTTGCTCATCTACCTATTCTCTGATGACTCTAATGAGAGATAGGAAGAGCACTGCTCTATTTCTAGTTCCTTTGTAAAGCCCTATTGAAGCATTTAAATAAAGTTCAGCGATTTTTACTACATTGTACAATTGCAATTTTAGGATTTTTGTATACCAAACTAGTTTTCAGAGGTTCAGCTGCCTACTATATGTTTAAAGGAAGGACAGCAACAATATAACTAACATGGAAGGACAAATAAAATTCTTGGAGTTAACTTTGCAATTCTGTACAAAATTCTTTAGTTACAATTTTGCTTGCTTCAATGTAAATCAGATTACATTTATCCCACCTCTAAAATCACTCTTTC